GCTGACATGGAGAAAGGTCCAGAACATTCTAGAATGTTCTGGAATGTTCTGGAAGAACTTGGAAGAACTTGGAGACAGTGGAGGCAGTTTTAACAAAGCCACAATTTCTCTCCATTTATACCAATGTATGTGTACCCACTATCCACTGGGTTTGCATACTCCTTTTCTAGAAGGAGGCAATTATGAGCAATTGCCCTTTCATCCTTGAGGTCAAATTAGTCTCAAACGATGGTGAGGAGAACGCTGTGGCTTACATCACGCTTTTTGTCATCCCGACCACCATCGCTTTCATCATCATCATTATCATCAGACTCCGAGGCATCCTGGATAAACGTTACAACTGATTATATCTCAAAGCAAAATAAAGATGCACCCTGGTAGCACCTGCCTTCACATCATCGAGATTGACGAAGATGGAAAACTTGGCAGGCTTTTCCTCGATAACCTTCCTTGCCATAGTTTCATATTCAGAAACATTGTCGACATCAATCGCGTCCTTTTTGCTGCAAGAAATATGAGCAAGAAAATGATACAGAAGTTCTTATGACATACACTTTGTTTGGAGGGACAATCGCTTTAATGGTGAATCGAGTTTGGGTAGTAACAGGGGTGAATTTTGGGTGTTGATGCTTTTCAAGCAAGGTCAAAAGGAAGGTCAAATAATTGGCCTGCGTGGCTTCGAAGGTGAAGGGGAAATCCTTGGTCTTCATCTCGACCTTCTTCTTGGTGGCTTTGAATTTTGATGCAGCGCCCTTGCCCTTGCCCTTGTCGACGGTGATAGTGACAGTGCACTGGAGTTGGACAACGACTTCTGCAACAAGGTGCATTCTATCGTCATCTGTGCTAGCTTCCTCCTCCTCCTCCTCCTCCTCCTCCTCGGGCTCAGGGACTGGGCAACGACGTGGGGGCATCCTGGTAAATGAGGAATGAAAGAAAGAAACATCATGAATCGCTGCAAGATATAGGATGGCGGTGCTTTCATTGACAGTTAGTCTTGTGTCGTGTCAATGTTGACAATGACTCGCACACTCACGAGGTGTAACCCTAATCCAGCAACCCCTAACCCTAGATTTTTTTTCAAACACGATTCTGTAACATTATGAAAAGAGCTGTAAGAAATGAAGAGGATGAACAGCAGAGAAAACATACCAGGTTGGCAAAATATAGTCAGGAAAGTCAGATTCATTGGAAGGTTCGACAATAACAGGGGCACTATACAGGAGGTTTGAAAGTGTGTCAAGTTAGGATGGAAAAGGACATACGGTGGAGTGGACATGATATTGAACATGTATAAATCAGAGGAAATGGAAAGAGTTAACTTAGTGTTTGATTTTTTTGGCGACATTGAAAAGCAAAGGTTGTTGGGCATTTCAGGTAGAGCAATAGCAGATAAAGCAATAATTGGGGAGAGCGATGGGAAGACTTGGGGCAAAATGAGCAGCCCTTTTTGAAGATGGCAATTGACAAATATTTGGTGTATTTATTTGAGAAAGAAGCGATGTAGAACAATTGGAACGGCTCTGAGGATGAGAAGCATTTACAGATATGTGGTATATTCTCAGGCTGAGATGGGGAAGCAACAAAAAACAGTTTGGAATGGCTCTGAAAGGATGAAGGAACCATTGGCAGCATTGAATGAATCTGATGCATCCATGATCCTTCTATTTAATCACATTAGGGGACAGATTAAATAATTCAATGTAGATCACAAGAAGAACTCATGCTCAAGCAGGTTGAATTACTGTTGATGACCCTGAACCTGGCCAACTCAGGAAGTTGGCCATTTGCCCCTTACCACGAGCTCTACACCAATTCACGCAGTTTTTTCTGCTGATACAAAATGAATAAAGTCTTGTCAACATGTCTATGAATTTTCGTGTGAGGGGACGTCCAATAATAGGAAAGAATCTTCCCAACAAGCTGTGTGAATGCCTGTCATGCTGTTAAAGGTGGCGAGTAGGCGAATGGGTGGGACAGTGTGTGCCAAGAATGAGCGACCTGAGACAAGGGACTGAAGCGCAGTAAGGGGCTGAAGTCCGAAGTGAGTAACTTTATGAATTGAGATAATAGACTATATACTTGCCTGAAGTCTGAAGTGAGAAACTTGGGGCTTCTGGTAACTAGCTACAGGCTTATATATGTAAAAGAACAATAAGAGCGAAATACAATAAGCCTGGAGAACATAAGAATGAGAACAATAAGAATTGACAGCTGACATCAAAGATTGATATCAAGTGGCAGCTGACATGGAGAAAGGTCCAGGACATTCTAGAATGTTCTGGAATGTTCTGGAAGAACTTGGAAGAACTTGGAGACAGTGGAGGCAGTTTTAACAAACATCTCATGGCTGAAGCGTGTGGGTTGTGTGAGATGGTAGACAGACAACAATGATGCAGTGCCGTTCTGCGATGCGACAAAATTTGAAGGTGCAATGGGAATTGTGGCCGTCGACTATGAGGAGCCAGTATCCACCTGACTTGTTGCGCTTCTGCGACATCGGGTGAAAATCTTTCTCAAGCCACAGACTTCCGAGCTCCCTGTCAGTCCAGCTATTTTCAGAGATGGAGATGCTGGAAATATTTCAAATTAGATATGTGCCATTAAATTTGTTGTAGTACTACCTAGCAACACAGGGATTGTCCTTTCCCCACTCCAGAACTTGACGTTTGCCTTGGAAGATCACCAATGGCGGTAAGGAAGTACTATCAGTGCATACACTCTCGATGATAGTGACCATCTCACGGTCCCCGTTCTCAACTTGCTGGACATTCTTCTGGTTTCTGTCAACAATCGCGGCAACACTTTTTCTGACGCCCAGTTGAACACCCTTCTCATCAGCATTGTAGATGTTTTCAGGTGGGATAGCATATTCCTAGATTAGATTAAGTGATGTCATGGCATCGAATCCATTTACTGACCTCGATCAAATCTCCAAGTTTCCTTCTGGCAATGTCTTAAGTGAGAACATAGTTTGGTTAGAGTAGATTTGCGCTAGAGCAAGGACACAAAACTTGCCGATGCATATTCTGCTAACATGTCCTGCGTAACAGGAAATCTACGATGGCCCAAAGGTTTAGCCCAGTCGGTGAGGACATCTTCTTCGGCCTCAGACAATGCGCGTTCATGTGCGTGGGCCTCCTTCCTGTTAAAACTGCCTCCATTGTCTCCAAGTTCTTCCAAGTTCTTCCAGAACATTCCAGAACATTCTAGAATGTCCTGGACCTTTCTCCATGTCAGCTGCCACTTGATATCAATCTTTGATGTCAGCTGTCAATTCTTATTGTTCTCATTCTTATTGTTCTCCAGGCTTATTGTATTTCGCTCTTATTGTTCTTTTACATAAATAAGCCTGTAGCTAGTTACCAGAAGCCCCAAGTTACTCCCTTCGGACTTCAGGCAAGTATATAGTCTATTGTTAAAATACAGAAAAGTGACCAGACAGGGAATTGAACCCAGGACCTTCCGGATATATACCAGATGCTCTAACCACTGAGCTATCCGGCCTTGGGTAACAACCAAGGCTATATTGAATTTATATCTGTCAACTCCGCCGGACACCACCTTGGTGTCCCCTCCACACATATTAGATCACACCTAATAGTCCTTCATTAATATCTGTCTATATGTGCACTAGATTATCTAATTAGTGACCATGTGACAGATTACAAATCCAACATCTATTATCTCAATTCATAAAGTTACTCACTTTGGACTTCAGCCCCTTGCTGCACTTCAGGCCCTTGTCTCGGGTTGCTCATTCTTGGCACACATGTGTCCCACCCTTTCGCCTACTCGCCACCTTTAACAATGTTGGCATATTCAGTCCACTATCAAACAGCTGGAAGTCTTCCGTTAATCGTTTGACTCGCGATGGAATTCCAATCACCAAGTACAACTTTCTCAGGTATTATCACCTTGCACAGCAAAAAGCTTTCAAACCATCGACAATCATCTCTGCATTTGCAAAGTCCGGGATTTGGCCCCTCAATCCTAATGCAATCCCCCTCAAAGCTTACGAGCCTGCGAAGAACACATCCACGCAGGCGGCGATGGCTATACCTTCTAATCTGACACCACTCCTCGAGGAGAATGAGGACGCCAAGGATGATCTAGCGAATCAGGATATTATTTTGGAATATACAGGAACAGGTACAGGAACAGGTTCTACGACCTCTGCAGCACCTTCCATGACTCCTTCAGCAGCTTCTAGTTTCTCGAGTTCTTCTTCTGCATCTTCATCCTCGAAACGGTATCGCTTAGTCGGTATTCCTCCCTCTTTGCCAACTACAGCCTGTCGCGCAGACCTTCGGAAGCAAATTGATGAGCTACAAGCAATTCTGGATGCGGTAAAGGAGCAACTGGAATGAGACCATGCAACGAAGGAGATTATGGTGAAGGAAAATGAGAAGTTGCGACAGACCTTATATCACAAGGAACTTAGCAAGAAGCAGACATATTCCTCCTCCAACCCTCGACATATGACCGGTGAGCAGAACATGGATGAGCTTGCAAAGGCTGAGTGGAAGGGGGGTTGGAAAGCATTGCTGAAGGAAGCTGGTAAGGTGATGAAGTTGTGTCGAAAGAGGATTGAGGAAGGCGAGAAGCAGGCAGCACAGGAATTCAAGGCGGCTGCGCAGGAAGCAAAGAAGTGTGAGCGAGAGGCCGAGAAGCAGAGAAAAGAAGACGAGAAGATTGCAGAGCAAGAAAGGAAAAAAGATGAGCGCGAGGCAAAGGTGGCGGAGAAGGTGGCGGATAAGGCGGCAGACAAGGCAGCAAAGGCTGCCCAGAAAGCGGCGGAAAAGGCGTTGAAGGAGGCAGAGAAAAGGGATAAACAGCCGGTGATAAGGGCGAGAGGTCGGAGTAGAGGACATGGACAAGGCAGAGGAAGGGGACAAGAAGGGGCTGCTGTGATGACCCCAGTTCAAAGTGCAGCAGAGGAAGCCGCGTTTCTGCAACTGATGGAGTTTAACGATGAGTGGGAAACCCTTAGATCAATTCTTTACGACGCACCTGAATGCCCTCAACCTCGACCTATTCAACCCGTTCAACCTGCAGAGGAAGAGACAACGGTCTCTGCTCCGAGTCCCACATCAGCCTCTATGGATGTCGACCCACCACAACCCACCGAGGAGGAAGATACAGTTGATTTGGAAGTGCCGGCACCTGTCGAAATCGTGAGTTTAAGATGGAATCCTAGACGTACAGCACAGAGAACTTAGTTATTTGGCATGTTTTTGGGTAGAAGAGATTACTTACCAAGACTTTGAATCATTGAAAATGTCGCCTCAGTGGAATAAGAGATAAGCGTCGAGGAGAGAGGCAGAAAGTGCATTATCTCTGGTAGTAAGGCACGTCACCAGACCCTGATTCTCACGACTGGCCAGGCCTGGCCAGGTTCCATGTGAAAGCACTATTTTGGGCTCTTCAACGAAAATATTCATGGCAAGGTCTAGAGTGGCAATAAAAATATGAAACTTGGAACGTTGGGAGCCAATACATATTTCTAATAATTGGTAAAAAGAATTGGGACAAAGGACAATTCATAAAGCTGTAGTTGCATGGGCAACTTGAAATGGCCAGGTTCAGGTCATCAACAGTATGTCACGTTGTTCACTGTGATGACCAAAAAATAGGGGCACAAGACAGGACCAATGTTAGTATGTGCAGACACTGCATATCTGCATTGGAAGAGAAATCAATGTCATGACAATCACGCAATGGAGTATTGTGGGGTCTGATAATTCAGAAACACCAATACCTGAGGAACCTGCAACCTCTACAATCGCTCATCCAATTCTTCATTCACCCTTTCACTGCACTTGTGAATCAAATTCCACCACCATGAATGCCTCATATGACAGGAAAAACGCCGGTGAGCCAATTCATTGACCATTTTGCAGATATCCTCACTGCAGTACTTTAGCCCTTGAACTGAAGAAACTTGCATTGGAACGCCTTGGAAATGCATACAGTGTATTGCACACCGCCCATATTACAGAGGTATAAATTATGATATTGAAGTTTTGCATCGCAATAATTCTTATGCATGTTCTCCAGCACCCGAGTTGGATGTCGAACTACATTGCAATCCCAGCAGGTGTTAGAATTGTGATATTAACACGTCAACGTCAGACACATATAGAGAGCTTAAATCAGGCAAAGGCAGATAGTGCGAAAGATAGTGGTGGTTACAAAGGAAAGAAAGTGTGGAGGGATTGGAGCACTGTCCTATGCTTCCTTTGCAAGGAATACGGTCATATGGTGTCTAACTGTCCACAAAACAGAAAGACTACCAATAGGTCAGAGGGTGCCAAAAAGGCAGAAGGAGAGAAGGCAGCAGCGGTGACAGAATTTGCTGGAAAGGCAAGTGCTGTTGCTGAACATGAAGTCAATTCTACATCTTCTAACAAAAATTTTTCATTGGAATGCTGATACAGGGGCCACATCTCATACATATGACACCCCACAAAACTTGGATTCGAAACTATACCCCTTATAGAGTACCAGTTAAACTGGCGGATCATAGAATTATATATTCAGCGGGTGTTGGAAGCGTTTTGTTCAGACCTATTAAAAATGGAAAAACATATAGAGATGTGGAGTTTACTAGAGTTTTACATGTACCTGCGCTTCGGAATTAATCTTCTTTCTGTTCTATATTTGACAAAGTACAAGGGCATTGATGTACATATTTCAGGTATCCAAATGGACTTTCTTGATCACAATTCATGGTTGTTTAGTGCTACTATCAATGACGATGATATCGGTTATTTAGATGGTTCTACTGTTGATATTATGGAAAGTGTTCATTTGGCTTCAACGCTGTCTCTCGACTTGTCTTTATGGCATAGACGGCTTGGACACCACAACTATGCTGATATTAAGAAAATGATATCGCAGGAAATGGTTGATGGTTTAGTGCTGGACTCAAAGGCAGAACCAGATCCTATATGCGAACCATGTTTGGCAGGAAAAATGCATGTGAACCTATTCCAGTCATCAGAGCATTGTGCGACAGAAGTTTTGGAATTGCTTCATTCAGACGTGCATCAGATCGGAATCACTTCTCATGGTGGATTTAACTATTGGGCTTCATTTGTTGATGATGCATCACGCTTTAAAGCGCTGTATCCTCTCAAAAACAAAAGTGAGACTTTTAGTGCATTCAAATGATTCAAAGCTTGGGCTGAGAATCTAACTGGGAAGAAAATCAAATGATTCTGTGATGATAAAGGAGGGGAATACATGTCGAAAGAATTCCAGAACTTCTTAGATGAATGTGGAATATCAAGGGAGCATACTGTCTGTCATAGACCACAACAGAATGGTGTAGCTGAGCGAGCAAATAGATTATTTGCTGAAAGGATTGTTGCTTTGTTGGAAGAGTCTGGCCTGTCCAAGAAATTTTGGGCTGAGTGTTTGGCTGCACTTATTCACGTCTTGAATTGCTGTCCCACATCTGCTGTTGAGGGAAAGACACCTTATGAGGTGTGGCATCGAAAGAAACCTGGTGTTGGTCATTTGAGAGTTTGG